TTGGGACAATGCATGATTTTTGTTTAGCATCAATTACATGATGTTTAGGACCAATGCATGATATTTAGGACAATAGCATGATGTTTGTTTAGGACCAATTGGCATGATGTTTGGGACCAATTGCATGATTTTTGTTAGGACCAATTGTATGATGTTAGGGCCAATTGCATGATTTTGTTTAGGACCAATTGCATGATATTTAGGACAATAGCATGATGTTTGTTTAGACCAATTGCATGATGTTTGGGACCAATTGCATGATTTTGATTAGGACAATTGCATGATATTTAGGACCAATAGCATGATGTTTGTTAGGACCAATTGCATGATGTTTGGACAATTGCATGATTTTGTTTAGATCAGTTACATGGTGTTTAGACAATTGGATGATATTTAGGACAATGCATATTTGCTTGCTGAATTGTTTAGGACCAATTGCATGATGTTTTAGGACCAATTGCATGATGTTTAGGACCAATTGCATGATGTTTAGGACCATTGCATGATGTTTAGGACCAATTGCATGATTTTAGGCAAGTGCATGTTTGGCTAGGACCAATTGCATGATGTTTGGGACCAATTTGATGATGTTTGTTTAGGACCATTGCACAATGTTTAGGACCAAGTGCATGATGTTTAGGGGCGGCACATTTGCACTGAGCTTTCCCGTGCACTTCCACTTTCTCTGGGAGGAACAGCACATTTCCCAAGTACCCCCTCCCCACCACCAACACCCCCTCCCACCCTGTGAAGAATCGCAGGTCACCCCCCTCACCCCTCCCACCCCCCTACGCCCCACCCCCAGCTCGCCAAAACCTCAAAGAGCACACGACTTCTCCATTCACGCCCTCAAAGGAAATAGAAGAACAAAATTGATGATCATGGAGCAGATCTGAACTTGTGTTCGGGCAAAGAAACACATTTCTTTAAATGATGGGTCCCCCGTGGGCTATTTTCGGGGCACAGCTCCTTCAGCGGCCTAAGTGCCTTACGAACCTGTGTTATGTGAACCTGGGCTGGGCACAAGCATTTATTTTTACTGCATCCCGCACTTCCTCTCCTGGTTCGCCCCTGTGAGTGAGTGTGCTCCGTGCATCTCCGCCTATTTGTCAAACTCCCTGATTTAGATGTCGGGCCAGCCAGAGTGAAACAAAAGCCACCAAGTGCTCTGAGCAACAGGAATCCAAGAGTCCTGGTCGGAAGTATTTATCACACCCGATGCTTCCTGATGACCTGAGTCAGTTCCAGAGAAAACTTTTGTTTTAGCCTCTGCCTAAAACAATCTCTTTTTTTAAAAAAAAAATCTAAGTTAAAGTAATACCCCAAGCAAAGAATGACTTCTAACTTCTCATGTCAATTATTGGGGTTATCCTTTAGTTATGAGCTCATAAAAATAAATGTCCAACATTTCACATGTTCCATGTTGGGACTGCCTAAACATTTAACTTTGCTTCTCTCTTAGAAATTGGTGTTTCTTGGAACGATAATAAGCTATTAAGTAAAAACCAAATTAAGTTGGAGCTTTTACCGACACACAAACAATGGGACAGTTTTTTTTTTTTTCTTGACTTAAGAAGTTAATGTAAGCATCTGGATCTGGGAAATTGTTTTGTAGAAATGTCTTAGGTACTGGGTTTTTATTTACCAAAAAAAAAAAAAAAAAAATAAGCATCTGGATCTGGGAAATTGTTTTGTAGAAATGTCTTAGGTACTGGGTTTTTATTTACCAAAAAAAAAAAAAAAAAAGTTCTTTCCAGGTTTAAACTTTTTTTTTTTTTTTAAACTTAGTTGTTTTTTGAGGAGTGTTGTTTGGATTGTAAAAATATCCTGGGCAATTAAGGCGGACAGTCATTTAGAACCTCAGCGAAATGAGATATGATGATCTAGTAAGGATGATAAAATACAATGACATGTTTACTGCTAATAACTTTCCAGAACCACACCTCTTAATATTATTTTCTTAATGTTTAGAGATTTCATTACATCACAACTGCATGAGTTTACAACCTCTGCTGCCCCTCAGGGTCAAGTTTCGCCCCGTTAACCAGCTTTCTTTGATACGCAATTAATATTAAGGAGTGATTGATTGGCGCTTACTCCCTTAATTAATGTGCCCTGCCGCGAGGAATTCTTTTCCTTGGGACACCAAGCAAGAATTAATCCTCATTCAAATAGGCCTGTTCTGTTTGACTTATTGAGAGGCATTTACCAAAATCACGGCTGCGCTTACTAATGGAAAGTAAAAACCCCGATGGATTGATCCTCTGTCACAACCGGCACCATGCTCTCTGTTTCATACCTACTTCCTCGTTCTCAGTGCCTTAAAGCCACTGCAAGCAGCTCTGGGAGTTCAAAGGGTTTGCAAAGAAAAAAAACAGTTTGGTTCTTATCACAGAAGATCTCAAATCACATTGGAAAAATTAACTTTAACAGTGATGCTTGGAATGCATCTTGATGGCAGTAAAAGATATTACCTCTTTTTTTAGGTTTTGTAAACATCCAAGAGTTTGTTATTCTGGTTATACTTTTTTTTTTTGAGACAGAGTCTCCTCTGTTGCCCAGGCTAGATGAGTGTGGCGTCAGCCTCGCTCACAGCACTCGACTCCTGGCTCAAGCGATCCTCCTGCCTCGGCCTCCCAGAGGGCTAGGATTGCAGGCGTGAGCCACCACGCCTGGCCTCCATATATATTTTAGTTGGCCAATTAATTTCTATTTTTTTTTAGTAGAGACTGGGTCTCGCTCTCGCTCAGGCTGGTCTCGAACTCCCGACCTCGAGCGATCCTCTAGCCTTGGCCTCCCAGAGTGCCAGGATATCAGGCATGAGCCACGGCGCCCGGCTCTGTTATTTATCCTTAACTTCCTACGCATCCGTCCACATCAGGATACAAGTGATTTGAGACAGTGTCTGCAACTTCTTACTCCTCAAGACAAGCTTAAGCAATAAGGTGCTATTAATATCTCCATTTTACAAATGAGAAAACAGTGAACTTAGTGGCCGACAGTCACTCTGCTTTTAAGCAACAGAGAACATACCAGGCACTATGGCTCCAAGATCCAAGATCAATCACCCTCTGGTGTCTCAGGTAAAGAGAAAAATGTTTGTCGTCTATTATTTCTATCCATGCACTGTCTTATTCCACATTCTTGTGATGCAGCACAAACTCTGCTTGCCCTGATATCCACAGGGTGGGCATGATACGATGCAGTTAATCACTGTTCCCTTTATAGATTTTCTGGAAAGTAGATTGGATATTTTTTTTTCCCTGAGAAAATAAAGAATGTAGAGTTTCAAAGCAGATTGCCTGGGCTCCAATCTTGGTCCTGCTATTATTGCCTGTCCTTGGGCATGGGGTCTAACCTTCGTACCTGGATTTCTTCATCTGGAAAACAGACATGATCATGGTCCCTGCTTCGGGGTTGTAAAGATTCAGTCAATCCATATACTGTGTTTCTCCAAAAATAAGACAAGACAGGGTCTTGTATTTATTTTTCCTCAAGAAGACACCCTAGGGCTTATTTTCAGGGGAAAATTGTTGTGTTGTTTTTTTTTTAAGTACGGTACGACCATCTACATTGATTCCAATAGAGTGAAGTGGTCGTCTTCTGGAACATCATCCTCACTCTCCAAACCCCGAATCCCATCCTGAATGTCTTGGGACTCTATTTCCTTTAGAACCACCGGCCCCGATCTCTCCTGTGGAGCACTAGAGCTCTCACGGGGCGGATGAGAAGGGCTGCTCGTGTTCTTTCCCGCTCCGCCACGACACGCATGGGTTGTGCAGATGCGCTGCGCAGCCACGCCCGTCACTAGGGCTGATTTTCAGGGTGGGGCTTCTATTGCGCACATGCTTAGACATCCTGCTGGGGCTTGTTTTATGGGGAGGTCTTATTTTCAGGGAGACTCGGTAGTTTAGAAAAGAACTACCGACAGTGACAGGCGACAGGATGTTTAAATCTGGGCCCCCAAGCCTCAGCTGCCTGGGGCCAGGTGGGGGCCAAACAGACAGGGCTGGGCCAGGTGGAGAGACCAGCCAGGAGGCTGGCAACGCCAGGTGTCCTGTCCAAACGGCAGCTCGGGACCCACCGAGCCGTGCCGTGTTTTCTATTTGTCACGAGGAGGCAGAAACCCAGATTCTTACGGGAAATGTCCCAGTGTTTAATAACCACTTCGGGACCAGAGTCAACTGTAGTCGACAGCCACAGGTGAACGTGCACAGCGACTATAGCCGACAGCCGTGGTATGACTTTTCTAATTTTTCATGCATCAAAATAAAATTGTGAGCATTTAAAAATAACGTCATGAAAACATATATGCATATGTTACCTGTTCTGATATTTACATGACAAGGAAAAAGCTGCCTGCAAAGTAAAACAAGCTTTGGGTGCTTCCAAGCTTTCCTCGTCACACAAGAGCAAGACGGACGCGCCGTCCATGCACAGCACAGACCGCCGTGTGGACTGTGAGTGCCGGCTGTGGGCGAGGCGTCGTGGCCGGTGATCGCCGGACCCAAGTGGCTAAGTCTCTGCAGGCCACATGAGACATCTGAGACCTGAGACCTCTGTGACAGTTCACCTCCTCTGCTGCCTTGGCAAGCCTGGATGCAGAAAATGTTTCTTCAATGTCCAAATAGAAAGTGTGCGTTTAAGTAAAGACATTCCCTTTGATTACACAGCAAAAGAAAACCACCAAAGAGATCAAATGAAGCACGTTGATGTAGAATTTCAAATAGAGTTTACGGAAACATAAAAGTATTTTATTTCTTCTAACCCAGCAGAGTATGGGCCCCCAAATATGTCATCGTCGGACACAGAATTCTGGGGCACTGGAGATAGGTAATATTAGATGATGATTACACCCATAGCTGGACTTTGAACACCACCATTATTATGAACATAAAAATGACAGCGTGGCTACTGAGTAATTAGTACAGTCGATGCGGTAAATACATTAAATTACAAATCTTTACATTTGTACACAACTCATTTTACAAATAAGTGTTTTGAGACCCTACCGTCCAACTCTCATCAAAACACTAAACGTTGCTGAACAACGACAACAACAAAAGTCTGCAATAAATATTCCCTCAGGCAGGTGGGGGGAATGACTCCACACAGAATCTGTGTTACGACGAACGAGTATAGGTTTAAACTCCTCATGTGGTTAACTGAAAGCTTGTATTTCGGAAAAAAAAAAAAACACAAAAAAACACCTCATATCTTAAACAAAATTTAGTTATTTAGAAAGTAAATGTTCTCATTATGCTAATATTATTCAAGGTTAGGTTACTCCCCAAATCATAAATAGGTTGTTCAGTACTTAATTTTTAAGCGACCCTCTGAGGATTGCAATTAGGCGTCTTTCTTTGCTTATCTGTGTGTGTATATTTCTGTCACACTCAATAAACAGCTCCGGTGAGAAATGAACACGTGGCCCTTTTCTAAACGGTGTGGCTGAACTGTCCAGCAGAACATCCGCAGCCCATCCATTTGCAACTGTAAAAGGCAACCTGGCTGCCCATTTCGAATATAAAGGAGCATAAATTGAAATGTGACGGTGGTCCCTATGTTTACAAAGCCAAAAACAAAAGCCAATTCTCCAACTGAGGCATTCTGCGACTGGAGCCAGACACTGTAGTAAGACGAGACAAGGCATCGAATTTCCCCAGCACAGTTCCTTCCTCGGGGACAGGGATCGACCGACCGGTGACAAGGGACTTTTCCCAGGGAGTCTCACGGCAATGGGAGCGGTGGCTTCCCCTCCGTGGCGGATTTGGGGCCCCAGCCCGTCAGCCGGAGCCGAAGTCCGGGCCGCTCTTGCCGGGCAGCGGGGGCTCCTGCTGGACCGGGTACCCGAAATACTGGTGTGACATCAGGAAGCCGGGTGGTGGCGGCTGAGCCGGGTGGCTCGGGGGGTGGCCGGTGGAGTAAGGTGGGGGCGGGGAGGGCGCCAGGCCCCCAGGCTCTGCCCGGGCGAAGGAGAACCTGCGGGTGGAGCCGCCGGTGGAGCTGGAGCTGGTGGCCGTGCTGGACTGCCGGGACGGGGCCCTGGGGCTGGCGGAGGTCAGGATCATGGGCAGCGTCTCTGCCTGGTAGCCGCGCAGCGAGAAGCGGATGGGCTGCTGGGACGGCTCCTTGGGCCTCAGGCAGGTGCAGCAGTAGATGGCCACCACAGAGCCCAGGATGATGAAGGCGATGAAGATGGAGCCCACGATGAGGAAGGGCACGTAGACTGGCTCTGAAAGGCAAAAGCAGACACCCCCCGCAGGGGGGCTCGGATCCAGGTCCCCAGACTCGGAGATCTGGGTCCCCAGACTTGGAGATCCAGGTCCCCAAACTCGGAGATCCAGGTCCCCAAACTCAGATATCCAGGTCCCCAAACTAGGAGATCCGGGTCCCCAAACTCAGATATCCAGGTCCCCAAACTAGGAGATCCGGGTCCCCAAACTCAGAGATCCAGGTCCCAAACTCAGATATCCAGGTCCCCAGACTTGGAGATCCAGGTCCCCAAACTCAGAGATCCAGGTCCCCAAACTCAGAGATCCAGGTCCCCAAACTCGGAGATCCAGGTCCCCAAACTCAGAGATCCAGGTCCCCAAACTCAGATATCCAGGTCCCCAAACTCAGAGATCCAGGTCCCCAAACTCAGATATCCAGGTCCCCAAACTCGGAGATCCAGGTCCCCAAACTCAGAGATCCAGGTCCCCAAACTCAGACCTCTGCTCGAGCAGCCGAGGGGGGTCTGGGAGGGCTGGGCATTATACCACTGCGGGCAGCTCAGCTTTTTCGGAGCTCGTTACTGGGAGCCTCCAAAGCGCAAAACCGCGATGCCTGGAACATTCTTGCTCCTCCCAGCAGGGAGGAAGCAAACGGATATGGCAGCCTCTGGGGGCAAGGAGCTGTCATGGCACACGGCTGGAAGCCAGAAACAACCAGAATATCCATCCTCCTGTCCGTGCATGGGAGGGAAAAGGTGAGCTTGCGGGGGGTCACTCTAATTCCGGGTTTAGACGCAAGGTTTTAGTAGCTGTCTCTAAGGCTTTGACCCCTCTCTGGGCTGACAATCCACCTTCCAACCAAGGGTGTCCAATCTGAGCAAAGACAACCTGGCCTGTTAAATGAGACCCCTTCTTCCCCCCCCCCCCCCCTCCTCCTCCCCCCCCCCGCACCGCCCCAAGGATTTTATGAGACTCCAGAAGGAACAGAAATCCATAGCGGGCCCCAGTCTACTGTGTCTCTTCCTACGTCACAAATCGTCAGTTCCGGGCTGCTCCGTTCCCCGGACAAGCCTCAGTCTCTCGACGGTCACCCAAGGTCTGGGAAGGTCACACGGAGCATGGGGTACAGATCGCGACGCAGTTCCTGGTGACCCCGGCCCGGGCTTTCTGGGAGAGCGTCCCTCAGACCGGACAAACGCCAGTGACCTTCTCTGTCTACCAGGCAGACTTAGGTGGCTCTCTCCTGCCACCCCAGCACTCTGGGAGGCCGAGGAGGGAGGATCGCTCGAGGTCAGGAGTTCGAAAGCAGCCTGAGCAAGAGTGAGACCCCCCGTCTCTACCAAAACTAGAAAGAAATTAATTGGCCAACTAATATATACATATATAGAAAAAATGAGGTGGGTGCGGTGGCACATGCCTGTAGTCCCAGCTACTCGGGAGGCTGAGGCAGGAGGATTACTTGAGCCCAGGAGTTGGAGGTTGCTGTGAGCTGGGCTGACGCCACGGCACTCACTCTAGCCTGGGCAACAAAGTGAGACTCTGTCTCAATAAATAAATAAATAAATAAAATATATAGAGAAAAATATTAGTTGGGCGCAGTGGCGCATGCCTGTAGTCCCAGCTACTCGGGAGGCTGAGGCGGGAGGATCGCTTGAGCCCAGGAGTTGGAGGTTGCTGTGAGCTAGGCTGACGCCACGGCACTCACTCTAGCCTGGGCCACAGGGCGAGACTCTGTCTCAAAAAAAAGGCAGACTTAAAGTGTCCCTCCCCAGAGGCCACCCCTGGGCAGGTCTGCAGGTCTCTCCCTCGGAGAGCCACACTAGGAGGTGGAAGAAAAAGGAAACCTGCGTTGGCCAGGGCGCTGCTGCGTGTGCCCGGCTCTTTCTTACTCATGAACCGATTGGAGTCCCGTGGGGTGGGCACCAGTGGGGTGAGCTCCATTTTCCGGATGTGGAAACACAGCAGGGAGTCCTTGACAGTTCCCAGAAAAAACGGCTGGCGAGTGACAGGTACAGGTCACTGTCAACGACCCTTCCCGGGCGCTGGCCGCACCAGCCGGGAAGGCCAGGCCCTTGGGAACGAGAGCACCCCTTACTGAGCAGGTGCCGAGAAGCCGCACACTCCGCCCCTCTGGGCAGTCTAACCCCCTTTGAGAGCGATTACAGGAACGGAGGAGAGAGAGGCCACAGCAGTCATGGGTCACGCCTCAGGGAAGCGACAGAGGCGCCATCCGCCGGGGTCTGCCTCGTTCAGGACTGCCCGGCTCTCGCCTGAGCTGTCCTCGGGCACCAGACCGGCCAGGCCGGGGTCCTGGGCTGCAGACTGCGCAATTGCACTCAAACTCCGCAGAGAGCCCCGGGGAGGGCGCACGCAGTGGAGCCCTAAGGCAGAGAGTCTGCGATTGTCTAACCGGCCAGGACGGCCTAGACTTCCCTCCTCCCCACTGAGTATCTATCTTTTCTCCAGAAACTACATACTTCTCGAATCCTCCAGATTGGCTATTTTGACCCCCACCATTAAATGCCTGGGGAGAGAGACCCTAATGAGTAACAGTCAAGGCTAGAGTCCCTAGGCCGGGCGAGGTGGCTCATGCCTGTCATCCTAGCACTCTGGGAGGCCGAGGCGGGAGGATTGCTCAAGGTCAGGGGTTCGAAACCAGCCTGAGCAAGAGCCAGACCCCGTCTCTACTATAAATAGAAAGAAATTATTTGGCCAACTAAAAATATATAGAAAAAATTAGCCGGGCATGGTGGCGCATGCCTGTAGTCCCAGCTACTCCGGAGGCTGAGGCAGGAGGATTGCTTGAGCCCAGGAGATTGAGGTTGCTGTGAGCGAGGCTGACGCCAGGGCACTCACTCTAGCCTGGGCAACAAAGCGAGACTCTGTCTCAAAAAAAAATAAAGACTAGAGTCCCTTTTTGTCTCTGGCTGTCGATTGGCTGGGAGGGGACCACCGGGCACCTCTTGTGACCCCTCCAGCCCCCTCGCCTGTCCCTGGGACCGCCCTTGGTTAGCGGGGTGTCACCAGGTCCCCCACTCTGGCCTGTTTCTCCCCCGTTTCCCCTGGCCTTAAAACCATCGTCCCCACGGGGAGCTCCTATGGGTCTCCCCTTAGAGCTCTGTTCTGACTCAGGTGGAAAACTTTCTCTCCAGGTGTCAGTTTTTCCTCTGCTTGGAGCAGCGATTGATTCTAAAGCGAGCGGCGGAAATTTGACCCCTGTTGTCCCACGCGAGAAGAGGGGGCGGGGACCCCCCTATTTCTGAAAGGCGTGTCAATAGCCGGAGAGGGTAATTCGATGCAGAGAAATGAAAGGAAGTCGGAGAAGAGGGCAGCGGCTCAGAAACGCTACCAAAGGGACCAAAAAAAAAAAAAAAAAAGAGTGGTGTAAGTTCTTTAGCGGTGCGTGTGGGGCTACAGATGAACGCACGACAAGAGGAGGGTCAAACTGCCAAAGCGACGAGGGCGTGTGCAAAGGGTGGCCCCTCACCGCCCCTAAAAGTCCACGTCTAGCGCCTGGCGCTGCGCCCACGGCCCTTCTCCCCAAGGCCAACAGGCGCCCGTCCGCTCCTCGCTGTCCCTGCAGACTCTCCCGGGGCTGACCCCCGGGGACCGCCCGAGGCGGCCGGAGGGACTGTAAAAGGGACAGAGGCTCCCGACCCGATACGCGGCCACCCGCTCCTCCCCGCGGTCCCCCCCAGACCCGGGCAGGCCCTGCGCGCCCTCCCCGCGCGCGCGCACCGCCACCGCCACCGCCACCGCCGCCGCCGCGGGCGGGGACACGCAGGTTGGCACTCGGGGCCCCGCACTCACGCGCCGTGACGCCGGGGAGCTCCAGCCCGCCGCGGTCGTTGGTGCAGCCGCCCTGCTCCAGCCGGGCGTCGGCCGCGGCGCAGCAGTAGCGCAGCGCACAGGAGCCGCAGCAGATGGTGGCGTCCGGCGTGTCGAAGTCCTCCGGGCACTGGAAGCCCTCGTGGTAGCGGCCCTGCGCGTCCACCCAGCCGTGGCAGTACTCGCCCGGCCGCTGGGCGCGCGCGGGGCCGCAGGCACCGCCGGAGGCCGACGCAAGGACGCCGCATCGCGCCGCGGCGCGCGGAGGGACGCGGCCGGAGGGAGGCGCGCCGCCGGCCCGCCGCCGAAGCCCCCCGGTGCGCGCGCTAGCAGGGCCGGGAGGCGGCGACGGGGGCGGCGGCAGGCTCCGAGGCGGGGTCGCATGCGCGCAGGGCGAGCTGGGGACGCGCCTCCGCCCGGCTCATCGCGCTCACGCGGACCCCGGCGCCCGCCCGCCGCCGCGCTCCTCACGGCATCGCGCTCAGGGCCGCACGCGTCCGTCCCCACGGTGGCCGTCGCCGGGTCTGGAAGGAGCCCGAGAGACAAGAATGCGCCTCCCCGCGCGCGGTCCCGGGCCGGTCTGTCGCGGGAGCCAGGAGCTGCTGCCCGCTGCTGACAGCTCTGCCTAAGGGGGGGGAGGCGTCCCTTAAAAGGAAGAGGGAGGAGGACCACGAGGTCGGGAGGAGTCCGCTCCCGGGCCGCCCCGCGGCGCTGATCGCAGCGGGTGGCGCGCGGTCTCTGGTCCTGCGCGCCTCTGTGCGCGCGCGTCCCCGCCACGCCCGCCGCGGGACTTGACTTTAAACCTGGGAGGGGGCAGGCCCTCCCCGCCCCACGCCCACCAGATCCACACGGCCGCCCGGAAGAGCCTCACACCGTGCAGGAGGGTGCCAGGGGCCCGCGCCATCCACGCGCGTCGGCGCGCGAGTGGAGACGCTGGTTTTACATTTTACCAGCTTAATAAAAAATGAGCGGGTGATTGAGGCTTGTTGAATCGTCTGATCTGTTGCACAGACCCGGACTCGTCCTGAAACGCAGTGCTAAAGGCTGAGGACAAATGCATGATGTTGTTTAGGACAATTGCATGATGTTTAGGACCAATTGCGTGATATTTTTAGAGAGGACCGAATTGCATGATTTTGGCCTTAGGAACCAATTGCAATAGATGTTGGGGACCAATTGCATGATTTTTGATTAGGACAATTGTATATTGTTTAGGCCAATTGCATATTTTTGTTAGGACAATATGATATTTGTTAGGCCAATTGCAGATGTTGACAATTTGCATGATTTTTGTTTACATCAATTACATGATGTTTAGGACCAATGCATGATATTTAGGACAATAGCATGATGTTTGTTTAGGACCAATTGCAATGATGTTTGGGACCAATTGCATGATTTTTGATAGGACCAATTGTATGATGTTTAGGGCCAATTGCATGATTTTGTTTAGACAATTGCATGATATTTAGAACAATAGCATGATGTTTGTTTAGGACCAATGCATGATGTTTGGGACAATTGCATGATTTTTGATTAGGACCAATTGCATGATATTTAGGACCAATAGCATGATGTTTGTTTAGGACCAATTGCATGATGTTTGGACCAATTGCATGATTTTTGTTTAGCATCAGTACATGGTGTTTACCAATGCATGTATTAGACCAATAGCATGTTGTTTAGGACATGATTTTAGGACCAATTGCATGATGTTTTAGGACCAATTGCATGATGTTTAGGACAATTGCATGATGTTTGGACCAATTGCATGATGTTTAGGACCATATTGCAAGCAATATTAGGACAAGTGCATGATTTTGCTTAGGACCAATTGCATGATGTTTGGACCAATTTGATGAGTTTGTTTAGGACCATTGCACAATGTTTAGACCAATGCATGATGTTTAGGGGGGCGGCACATTTGCACTGAGCTTTCCCCTGCACTTCCACTTTCCTGGGAGGAACAGCACATTTTCCAAGTACCCCCTCCCACCCACCAACACCCCCTCCCCACCTGTGAAGAATCGCAGGTCACCCCCCCTCACCCACTCCCTACGCCCACCCCCAGCTCGCCAAAACCTCAAAGAGCACACGACTTCTCCATTCACCCCCTCAAAGGAATAGAAGAACAAAATTGATGATCATCGAGCAGATCTGAACTTGTGTTCGGGCAAAGAACACATTTCTTTAAATGTGGGTCCCCGTGGGCTATTTTGGGGCACAGCTCCTTCAGCGGCCTAAGTGCCTTACGAACTGTGTTATGTGAACCTGGGCTGGCGTAAGCATTTATTTACTGCATCCCGCACTCCTCTCCTGGTTCGCCCTGTGAGTGAGTGTGCTCCGTGCATCTCCGCCTATTTGTCAAACTCCCTGATTTAGACGTCGGGCCAGTCAGAGTGAAACAAAAGCCACCAAGACCCTGAGCAACAGGAATCCAAGCGCCCTGGTCGGAAGTATTTATCACACCGCTGCTTCCTGATGACCTGAGTCGTTCCAGAGAAAACTTTTGTTTTAGCCTCTGCCTAAACAATCTCTTTTTTAAAAAAAAAATCTAAGTTAAAGTAATACCCAAGCAAAGAATGACTTCTAACTTCTCATGTCAATTATTGGGGTATCCTTTAGTTATGAGCTCATAAAATAAATGTCCAACATTTCACATGTTCCATGTTGGGACTGCCTAAACATTTAACTTTGCTTCTCTCTTAGAAATTGGTGTTTCTTGGAACGATAATAAGCTATTAAGTAAAAACCAAATTAAGTTGGAGCTTTTACCGACACACAAACAATGGGACAGTTTTTTTTTTTTCTTGACTTAAGAAGTTAATGTAAGCATCTGGATCTGGGAAATTGTTTTGTAGAAATGTCTTAGGTACTGGGTTTTTATTACCAAAAAAAAAGTTCTTTCCAGGTTTAAACTTTTTTTTTTTTTAAACTTAGTGTTTTTTGAGGAGTGTTGTTTGGATTGTAAAAATATCCTGGGCAATTAAGGCGGACAGTCATTTAGAACCTCAGCGAAAATGAGATCTATGATGATTCTAGTAAGATGATAAAAACTACAATGACATGTTTACTGCTAATAACTTTCCCAGAACCACACCTCTTAATATTATTTTTCTTAACGTTTAGAGGAATTTCATTACATCACAACTGCACTGAGTTCTAGCAACCTCTGCTAGCCCCTCAGGGTCAAGTTTCGCCCGTTATCCAGCTGTTCTTTGATAGCATTAATATTTTAAGGAGTGATTTGTTGGCGCTTACCTCCCATTAATTACATCGTGCCTGCCGCGGAGGAATTCTTTTTCCTTGGGACACCAGCAAGAATTAATTCCCTCATTCAAAGGCCCTGTCTGTTTGACTTATTGAGAGGGCATTTCACCCAAATGCAGCCGGCTGGCGCTTACTAATGGAAAGTAACAAAACCTCGATGGACTTGATCCTCTGTGCACAACCGTGCACCATGCTCTCGTGGTTTCATACCTACTTCTCGGTTCTCAGTGCCTTAAAGCCACTGCAACAGGCAGCTCTGGGAGTTTGCACAGGGTTTGCAAAGAAAAAAAAAACACGTTTGGTTTCTTATCACAGAAGATCTCAAACTCTACATCGACAAAATTTAACTTTAACAGTGATGCTCTGAGAATGCTCTTTGATGGCAGTAAAAGAATAGTCACCTCTTTTTTAGGTTTGTAAACATCCAAAGTTTCTGTTATTCTGGTACCTTTTTTTTTTTTTTTTTTTTGAGACAGAGTCTCACTGTTGCCCAGGCTAGAGTGAGTGCCGTGGCGTCAGCCTAGCTCACAGCAACCTCCAACTCCCGGGCTCAAGTGATCCTCCTGCCTCAACCTCCTGAGTAGCTGGGACTACAGGCATGCACCACCATGCCTGGCTCATTTTTTATATATTTTTTTAGTTGGCCAATTAATTTCTTTCTATTTTTAGTAGAGATGAAGTCTCGCTCGCTCTTGCTCAGGCTGGTTTCGAACTCCTGACCTTGAGCGATCCTCCCGCCTCGACCACCCAGAGTGCTAGGATGACAGGCGTGAGCCACCGAACCCGGTCTCTGGTACCATTTTAATAGTAAAGGGAGACTTAAAAGTTCTCATGGACGCTGGGAGTAGGACGTGGAGACAGAAAATAAAGTCTACCGTAACTGGGGTATTAGGAAGAGGCCTTAGAAAGTCTACATGTTTTCTTATCTCGGTAACACAAATTTCATATTTTGGTGAAGAACGAAATCAAAAGAGGTCATTCCCCCAGACAACACTCTCTCGTGGCCCTGCCTCCAGGAAATTCTGTAGGAAATGAGGTTAAATGATGGGATGTCTGGGATTTGCTTTAATAAACCCCAGCAAGAAGGAAAGAGAGAGAAAGAAATAAGAGAGACAGACAGAGAGAAGAAAGAGAGAGGAATAAAGAAAAGAGGGAGGGAGGAGGGGAGGAAGAAGGAAAGACGGGGCGTACTGGAAGTGAGAAGATGGGACTGATAGAACTAAAACACAGCTGGCAACACGTTGGTAAATGTCCCCAGCTGAATAGGACTCATAAAATCGAAATGCAATTTTCTCTATTTCTATGTACGAATAAAAATTACACAGTAAAGTATTTTTTTAAAAAATGGATAGGAATTGGTAGCAGCAGGAAACAAGACTGGACTATATATATATACTTGTGTATATATATATATATATATATACTTGTATATATATTTTTTAATTTTTAATTTTCAGATACAGGATCTCCCTCTGTCACCCAAGCTGGAGTGAAGCACTGTGAAATCAGAGCTCACAGCAGCCTCAAACTCCTGGGCTCCTGTGATCCTCCCACCCCAGCCTCCCAAAGCACTGGGATTAAAGGAGAGAGCCACCGTGCCCAGCCCTGGACCATATTTTTATTATTTATTTTTTAATTTTTTGGGGGGGGGTGGAGACAGAGTCCTGCTCTGTTGCCTGGGCTAGAGTTAGAGTGTCATGGCGTCAGCCTAGCTCACAGCAACCTCCAACTCCTGGGCTCAAGCGATCCTCCTGCCTCAACCTCCCGAGTAGCTGGGACTACAGGCACGCAGCACCACCATGCCCGGCTAATTTTTTCTTTTTCTTTTGGTAGAAACAGGGTCTCGCTCTTGCTCAGGCCGGTCTCGAGCGCCTGAGCTCAAATGATCCGCCTGCCTTGACTTCTCAGAGTCCTAGGATGACAGGCGTGAGCCACTGCGCCTGGCCCTGGACCATGGTTTTAAACTTCATCCTGCTCGCTTCTCTCCTCTGTATTCTTTGGAGCAGAGCGAATGATTTGAGAAAAACAGAAGCTGAGACTTGAAGGCAAAAGCACAACCACAGGGACCCAGCAGAAAGGGTTGGGAACTCAAATGTACTAAGGAAAGGAAGGTGGGGGTAGACCGAAAGAATGCAGAAAACAGCAAGAACAAAAATAGGGCAATTCCCTTCGGCTGTGGAAGTCCACCCCAGCTCGCTTGCATTGTACCCAGAAACCAAACAGAAAACAAAAAAAGTTTCTCGAACTTTCCTTAAGTTCCTCCCCGGAGTAATCTGTTATCACTGAAGTTTCTTTAACTACTTTGCCCGTGACTTAACAGAGTTCTCCTCCTTGGATCCCTCACCGTCAATCTCACTCCAGGCTCCTGTCAATCCGAGTGATTCCAAGAGGTTTTTCTCTCAATTTTTTTTTTTTTTTTTTTGCTGTGGCTGATAATCACCCCTAGAGAGCAGCCCAGGGGTGCACTCTCAGGCCCGGCCCTGCTCCTGCCCCCTGCTCCTGGTGGCCTCTGGTCTCTTCATTTGTCAAAAGAGGGGATTAGACCAGGGTCCCCAGGGCAGGTTGCTCAAAAGGTAAGAAAATGAGAGGGGAGGCCTTATAGAAATGCAGGCTTCCGTTCTCAGGGTCTGCCGT